AAAAATAAATAGTTTATAAAACTAGGTTTGTGTAGGACGATGAATGAAAAAATAGAACACGTGGAAAAGTTTTTAATTCGTAATTATGGTAAAATGATAAATGTGTAAATTATTATGACCTGATATTGCTTGTAGTTGAATACGATTATTTTGCTTATTTACCCCAGCAAAACTGTAATTAATTAATTTTAAGATTTTTAAATGTTGCTGTTTGCATTAGACATAAATGTCCTTACATATCTATTTTTAATAAAACGTGCCAGTTGGAAAAAAAACTTCACTATGCGATTTATAGCTTGCAACACTTTAAATGGAAACCTCTGTACTACAAAATGAACAAAAACAACCAAATATTTGCTCTTTTAAATTTCATTTTATTTGTTTCTTGTGTTAAGTAATGTTTTATAAAAATAATTAACGGCAAATTTGATTTTTGTGAGTTTTTAATGAAATTTTTGATGGCTGGTAGGAATTTGAAATTGAGACGAACTTCATTCAACTATTTTAGTCCTGGAACTTACTGGAATAAATTTCCCATTTATTATTATTTTTAAAGAAAGCAATAATTGATTAATAGTCTAATTTCGCATTTATTAATTGCGCAAAAAGCAAGTAAGTTTTATTAAATAGCTACAGAAACCAAATTATATTTCAGCATTTAAACAAAATTAAATAATATGACACAATTCAAAACTGCCATGGGATACATGTTAAACTTTTTCGGTATAAATATAATTTTACCATTTATGGCAAAATTAATTTCAAGTTATGGTTGTTACAACTTGTCCGTTCAACGTTTCCTTATACAAGATATTATTTTCAATCTTGCAGTGGCATTTCACCATTTTAAGAAAATGTAGTTTATAATGAACTAATTGCATTAAAAGTCATTCATTCATTCCTATTGTTATCAGTTATTATCAGTGATAAAAACAAGATTTGTTTTTAAATATGAATTCAATTTAATGAACTAAACAATCTAGAGCCCATAACGGAGAAAACAAAGTAAAAACGTCGTCGTAGCTTCCTCGATGGCATCTTCTGTGCAATTTCCCCGACATGTTTCTAATAAAATTTAGCATTCGTTACATATTTATAACGAAATTTAGCTCGTTCTCGTCGGGTATTCAAATTTAAAAATATTTTCGCTACAAGAAAAAAACTCGAACCCACACACACGCAAGCCTTGAAGGGACGAGCAGCTCGAACTCTCGTAGAAGTCGTCCAATGATTTCGTCAACTCGTTCACCTCGACTTGCTGTATCCAACACTAGATATGGACGAGTGGGGCATGTCACTGCTGCATTGTGAAGTCGGCCAGACGCGGCCACCAGATACAGGATATCTTATATGAAAATAAAAATGGTCACGTGACCCGAGTCGCCGGCCCCGCTCATGATAAGGTGGCCGTGAAAAGGCCAAAGGGCGAGTGATAACAGAGATATAACGGGGGACTGTTTCGGGGATAGCCCTTTAAATTTTACACCGAGTTGGGTAAAGGGGTCTGGAAAGGTCACGGTTTCGACTATAATACTCGTCGCAGAAATTATTAAAGTGCAGCAAACTAAAAAAGATATTTTACAAGTGGTGAGACTAGCTGAATACATAAAATGTGTATGTCCGCTATGTTAGCTGACTATTACCGGAAAAATAATAATATCACAGATAAGATAAGTTTCAAAGTTAGAAAAATCTAAAGTGAATGCTGATTTTCATTTATTGATAGTCACAAGGGAGGAAAGTGTACCTTTTCCTCACCCAGGGAGAAAAAGACACTTTCCTCCAGTGTTATATATACAATTTTTCCTACGATCCAGGAAAAAAAAATTCAAAACTAACCAGTTCTCTTTGCCATTAAATGTAGCAGCATGTTTTTCCATTTCTATAGAGGAGGGGTAAAATTTTTACCTTCTTGAGATAATTGATCACTTTCCTATTTGAAATTAAGGTGGAAAAACGTACTTTTTCTATTTCAGTGTTAGAATAAGTCGTTCGCGGTAATTTAATTTTAGTGACGGACTTTCTTCACAATTCATTTCCAAATGTGGAAATAAGAATAATTTTAATTTTTACAGCCGCCTAAAATTATTCCACATATAAATGTCGCAAAATTCTCTAGAAAAAAAAAAAAATTTCGTTTTTAATTTATAAAATGATATAAAGCGGCGAAATAGAAAAAATAGTATAAAGCACTTGTTGAATAAGGTTCTTCAAGCACTCATTGGTTCCTCAACTCGCCGCTTCGCGGCTCGTTTCGGAATTTCAAATTTGTGCTTGAATTTGTGCTCCTGCAACTTGTACTTTAATATACTATTCTTTAAGATCGTAGGTTTTTTTTTATTTTTGTTAAATATTTTCATACGAAAATTCATAATTTCTGCCTCTTCATTATTACCACGTTAATTTGATATCTGAAAATAAATGTTCTCAAAAATGTTGTCTTGAGTCAAAGTTTATAATTCTCACATAAAACTTTTAGTAAAATTATTAAGTACATATATTAAGAAAAAATGCTTTACATACAGGATGTTTCAAAACTTGCGCCCCAGAAAAAAATTCCAAGTAAAATAAGATACCAAGAATATGAAAAAAAAATTTTCCAATTTGGTTGTGATATGTCATTTTAGTTGTCAAATGTGCTTAATTTTATCACTAGTTATAAAATATGACATTATTTTATCACTAGTGTTAAAAAGTGTAACATAAAGATTACAAATAACACTATTTTCGTAGCAACGCCCCGACACTTTGGAAAATTATTGAAATCACAGATTTAAAATTCGAATTCGATGCCTATGCTTTTCACAATCAAATTGGAAAAAAATTGGAAAAAATCTTGTATGAAACATGATTTAAAATGGCTGTTTTTTGCACAAGACGCATTGGACCACGCGTGGTCCAATCTTCACGTCTCATGCAAAACACGCTCATTTTGTTCACTTGTTGCATAAATTTTATTTTATTTTATTTTATTTTGTATTTTTTGGCCTGACTTTTTTATGTCTATTTAATGTTACTAATGATCTTGTTTATGCTTTTTCATACCTAATTACTCAGTAAAGGTACAAAGAAAAACTTTGCCAACAAAAGTCACAAATAACGTTTAACATAGTTATAATTACTCTTTGTTTCCTCTTCTAATAGCCTGCAGAAAAAAAAAAAAAAACATAAAATTATTTTTGCACTAGAAATACACACCACACAACAATTATTGCATCACATAATGTTTATACATGTAAAAAAATTTTAACTCCTTAGGAATTATAGTCATTGACTGATTCGCTCTAAAGTATTGTGGTAAACGGGATCGTTCTACAATGTCTTGCAAACAGTCAACAAAAATTAACACAAGCAGTGCAAAAATCAATTATCATTCCAAACTAGTGTTAAAATCTTCTTAAAGATTAAATTTAGTTTATAAGAAATGTTGCAGACCATTTGCTACTCGATTTGGTATAGGTATACTTAAGAAACAAAGTAATGAGATAATTGTTGAGGTGGATGTAAACAGTTTGAAAGTGCAAATTTTAACCCTCATAATTCCGAAATTTTGGTAGATAGAATTTTTTTTTACGTTTTTTAAATGTTCCTGGTAGGTATCTTATCTTAGTTAGCAGTTTTCTCTGGGGTGCGAGTTATGAAACATTCTGTACACATAAACTTCCACAGATTGACAAAAAGTCCTTTTTGATGTCCTTTTGCAGACAAAATTTTACAATCACATCCTTGCAGAAACCAGGAAACTGTATTTTATTTAACTGTATTGTATGTCAATTTAAGAGTTTTTATTGACATGTTAAATAAATATCTAGAATATTATTAAAAGTATAATACGTATCTATTTAAAAATAGTAATAAATCTTTACAATTTTTCTTACTTTAGCACTAAATTGACTTATAATATACTATTTGCGGTAAAACTTATCAATGTTAATAAATTTAATGAAAAAATATTTGGTTTCTAAGTAACAAATTGCTTTTTTAAACGGTTTCTTAAATATATACTTACACATAGTTACAGTAATTACTGCACTTTATTACCATATTTGCCTTATAATAATCATGTGCTAATACCCTAGAATGTTTAAAATACTCCTTCATCAATCATAGCTGTCAACAGGGTCTGATAAAATGTTTTTTTGTCGTAAAAGTTGATGATTATTCATGCAGGTTGTATATTTACTTTAGGTCATATTAAAAACGATACATATATTTACCTAAAACTACGTGAAACGTGTACTACTTCGTTTATTTAACAAACAATTTTTTGTTAGTTAGTTTTTTCAAAAAAAAAAAGGACTAGATCACAAATTAGTTTAATTTGGAAACTGATTTACATACTTTTTAGTTACTGTATAATATTTCAAGAAAACTTGAAAGCTACTTATAAAAACTACATTTAACCCTAATTACCGTAATAGGCAAATGCTTTTACAAACAGCAATAAAGCATTTAATACCGAATTTATTAAAACAAAGGACTTGCCTTAATATTACCCTCAACGAGCTTAATTTCTGATCTTTCATTGTGCGACATAAATGTCAAATGAGAACTGTTAACGAGGTGATGGTTAATTATTAGCATGCAATTGCCCATTAAATAATGCAATTATAAACAATTTAAAGTGTTATAATGTATGAAACTTCCTAATTTCTTGTAATTTTATTATGATGGATAATAGACTCTTATTAGGCGGTGATTAGTCGTAAATCCTTGATAAATTGTCATGGAACGATTTTTCAGCTAAACTGAATGTTTTTCGACAGGAAGTAAGGTGAATTACGCCGGATATTATAAGGCACGTGCCGGAAAAGATTGTCAACTTTTTACCAAACTCAACTCCTCGCACTTGCATTAAATAATTTCTTATCCGTTTCTCAATTAACACCGATATTAAATTAATTTACATGTTCCACTGATCAGTAAACAAAGTTAAATACTACCTACCTTTACAAATCAGATCCGTATCAACACGTAAAAATAATGAGACCGGAATTAATGAAAACGTTTATTTTGTAACTGAAAGCCGTTATTAACAGTAAAAAAATAATGGTTAATTAAGTGTCTTACAATAATTAAAACATAGCATTTTGTGAATGCTTTCTTATGCTTTCATAAAACTTTCCCCATTGGTATAAGTCTGCAGAATGCTCATCAATTGAAGTCGTACTTCTAAGTTAACATCGTCTGGTAACTTTTCCATAAACGGCAAAAGTGACAGAAGAAACTTCTTATTTCCCATTCTATCATTGACTCGATCTTCTTTCTGCATTTTCACCAGTTCCTGTAGGATATTCAATAAGTGGTCGGAATTGTCTATTTCTTGGTGCGTTTTGCAAGTATTTAAGTTTATGCTTTCCATACTGTCGTCGTTTTTCTCCTCGTGTTCTTCTAGAAAAATCACGTTTGCACTTTGTGCTCCCCTAGTTGTCAACTCAAGAAATGAAAGTTTATCGTAGAAGATGTATTTTTTTCGGCTTTTTACTATGCCTTTCATTTGCTCGTCTTTTTCTTGTTTTCGGACGCGGATGTAAGCGTCACGCAGGTTTTTCCATTTTGCTTGTACTTCTTTTACTGAAATTTATTATAACATGTACTTTTATAGTTAAATATAGTTAGTCTTACGAAACAACACATTATTTTGTCGGATATGTATTTTTAAAGGTTCTTGCGTAAAGAATACGATCTGATTATCGTGTTATTGGATAACTGAACTTTTCGATAAAGGTTTAGTGGTTTAGATTTTTTCAAGTTCACTATCATTTCTATGAATTATATGTATAGACTAGTGAAATTAAAGATATTGTTGTGTATCCTCAAAAAAAAAAAGATTTGACAGGAATAAAATAATTAATCATATAAGAAGTTATAATTAATAAAATAAGGTGTAAAATTAGAACAAAAATCCCGAAACAATTTATTTAAATTCATACGTGAATGGATGAAAGAATGAAACACTCTGTATTTATTGTTTGGAGAATAATAAAAATTGTATTGAAATTAAACCTTGTAGAAAAAAGACCATGAAACTATAAAATTAAATTAAATCAATATGCTTATTTCACATCCAAATGTAATAATTACACTAGTTTACACCATTTCTGCTCATTAAATAAAAATACTATTTTCTAACTAATTTCATGATGCAGATTTTGGGTCTGACCTCCGAATTTTTCCATCACGTTCATATATTGCGATATATTAAATAAAGTTGAGAACTGAAACTATTTAATACATGTGAGCAAAGGTAATACAAAGTACATTAAAAATGTTTTGTACAGCTTTTCATCCGTTTCTCTTATGAAGAATCAACAATAGTTGCTCAACCTAGTATAGTTTGGTACTTGCGCTCCAAATCCATCAAGTCTTTGATGTCCTCGCCATGTTCAAAACGAAAGTGACCTATATTTTCTAGAGAAAAATCCAAATGAGAATGAAGAAAATGAATATCCAATTTTTGCAAAATTCGAAATCAAACTCAAGTAATTTAATTTAATTGTTCTTCATAACCTTTCCCAAAAATCCCTCAACTACATTCTGAACGGATATACAAGCTGCTAGTTCTGTAATCCACAGATGGTTCTCAATACAGTATCTTTGAAAAGTTCTTTATCTGAGGACCAAGAAATATGCCTTCTTTTAATATAAAGATTTCACAATTTTTTTCACGAATCACAGTTTTATAAAGCGGTGGAAAAAAAACTTTTGAATCTACAAGAAGTTCATGTTTAATATTCATTTGACCAGAGATATACTAATTTTTTGTAGACCAGTTTTGTCTAACATAATGATGGTCCAGCCCTGCTGTCCCATAAACACAAAAAACAGCAATATTTGGTGTAGGTAACCTAATCATAAGCCCACCGCATACGATCCTCTGATAGGTGTCTTGTATTGAATTAAATCCAATAGAATTTTCATGTGATTCTTTAGCAGATACTGTATGGACAACAGGGATGAAAGGTTTTTCGTTACCAATATAAACAATCTCCATTCAACGGGATTATATGCTTGATTGATTTGATTAAATAAACCAACAATGTCAAAACAATAATAAAATGTATTGTTCTTTTTAAAATAACAAAGAAATTCAGCACTTCTGTTTCGATATAGACACTAACAATTGTCTCAAAGGCGAGAAAATTCCATTGTTACAAACGTGAGGTAAGTAATTCAATCCCAGATTTCGACAAATCATCGACAAATCTCGTTCTAAATCATTTATTAAATGTGGTGTTTTAAGTCATGTTCTCATTACTGTCACCATTTCTCCTTAATTTTCTGCAGACTCCTGAGGTGATCCACCAGGAGGTGCTGGTTTAAGCAAGTTTATAGAGTGTGATACTGGTTTGGTGATAGAAACAATATCGAGATATTCAATACTTAATTTTTTTATTAAATCATTTTAAGTAGGTAGGTACGTTTGTTAAACATGTATGATTACTAGGTTCCCTCCACAACATGGGTGAACCAAACTGTAGGTACTTCTCTTCATCCTATGCCCATTTATTGTAAACCAACAACTATTCCAGAAAAGATATGAAACCCACTACTTCTCTTGATTAATGATTACAGTGACACAACTTGACGGATTGCATCCCTTATTCCTAAGAAGCACCAACTACCAAGCACCGGCAAGAATAACAGTGTATTTGACAATCTGGACGTGATAGCTTGCTATGGTATTCACATCTCGTTTAGTTTAGTTTCATTTATTAGAGAGTAGTTTTTTTTTAATTTGTAAACTAGTGTTATGTAGATTTCCAAAGTCTTTATTTTTGTGTAATTATCTTTGCAAATATGTATGTTCAAATCACCCTTTTCTGTTTCATAATCAAGCACTTCTTCATGCATTTTAAAACTACCTCTGGATTCACCAAGTGAAACTTTTGTTTTAGTCTTCGTGTTGTTCATTTATATAAAGAAAAGAGACTGAAGTGATTGAAAATCAAGCAAAATAGTCTTTTTTCTATAATTTAAAAAAGTCCGCTACAAATTATTATTATTAAACGTTGCTTTTTAGAGTTAACAATTTCGACTGTTCACAAAAGACTCATCATTTGTTCAAATGAGTAGTAAGACTGTTTCTTTCCAAAATTATAAATTTTTGCAAAAAATGTGAACTCTCAAAAAAAATGCATAAAAAATGTCAATTCACTTTGAAATTTATTTAGCAACCCTGACTAATATCGAAGCAGAAGACAGACTTGTAGTATTAATTTTCACATCCACTGTCACAAAAATTTTCACTGTTGCCAACTTAATTACAAAGTTATAGGTCACTATTATCATGATCAATAATAATAAGTTTGCACCCAAATAGTTTAGGGAATAAGTAAGTATTGTAAACTCATCTTCACCATACCGATTTGGCGACAGATCTATTATTCTGAGGACAAACCTATTAACATAGTGACCAATAACTCAATGTTTTTAACATAATTATATCATTATTAAGCTCGGAACCTCACCTAAAGCTTCTTTTTCCGTAGCCGTGGAAGTTGCCCACAGTTCGAGAAACAGTTCTTTGGCGATTTCCTCCCAATGCGCTCTTCTAGCGTTAGAGTCGTTGTTTCCGGTCGCTTTGAAGTCGTACAAAGCCGGCCGTTTTTGAACTTCTTCAATGAGTTTATCCGAATTTATTGTACTACGCAGCATAATCAAAATTCTATTTACAGTCAAATAACAACCCTAATGCAATTTCAGCTCAGCGACTATTTCAGTGTTTCTTGTTGTTGGTTATGACTTGTAGGCGTGCGCAGTTGCGTTGCCGCGCCACACACTCTTGCTTCTGCTTCGATCACGCCGACCACATCGCTCGAACTATAGTTGGGCTTTTAGGCGATAGCTTTTGATGGAAAATAAAATGTGACCGTGACCTTCGTTGCAAAGTATAGCGGAAAATTGCAGTGTTACATGGACGCGATAATTAGTTACCTACAGTGAATTATCGAGCAGTTTTGGATTGTATCAATATTCGGATAATAAAAAACGAGAATATATGCCGCTTATGGGATTTTTATGACCATTGAAACAGAAAAATATTTATAATAATCGAGGAATCGCGAAAAGGTGCACCAAACGGATTGGAACCATGTTTTCTGTAGATATTAAAATGAAAAAAAGATGTGATTTACGTATCAATGCTATTTAAAAATAATCCAGATTTTAAAATTTATAATTTTGTAAAATGTAAGAGATGAAATGTACAGGGTGTTTCACACAACTTTACGAGGCTTGCGCCTAATGTACGCACCCAAATGTACAAAAGTCACAAAACACTAGATGCAAAAAATACACATTTAATTATTTAATTTTTGAAAACCCAAGACAGTAGTCACTGTTTCATTAATAGTCATAAACTGCAATTTTTCAGAAACAATTATCATTTGTTTTATCAAGAGTCGGCATAAATATGATTCTAGTTTATGTATCTTAATCACTAACTAACTAAAAACGTTGTAATTTTTGAAAGGGTGAACAAACTAGAGAAGATTATCAGCTTAGCAATCCTCGTAAAATTATGTAAAACACCTTGTATAAGGGAGTTTTTGGGGTCAGTACCCAAAAAATTTGAAGTGTTATTGTTGCCCTTCTATATGTTTCGTTTATTTTATAGCCTTTACATTTTTAAAATTAGTCATTATTTTTTCTTCGGACAGTGAATTTCGTCCGCCCAATTTCCATGACAGACTAAAAGTGTAAATTAGTGTTTAGGTTTTTCTAACCTTGTTTCAGAATTTTGATTTACGTTTATCATGTTGACAGAATGCCAGGATGTTTCTTGTTACTTTTTACCTGTGCTTTCTTCTACAAAATGAATAATAATTTAATTAAATTTAACAACACGTATTTAAATGTCAATTATCATGACAATAAAGCACATGCTGCAGTGAATTTTTGTGAATTCACGAAAAAAAAAAGCGGTCGAAAATCACTATCCATCACTGTACCTACACTTTCGTAAAAGTGCGTTTTTAAAAATTTAAATTTGTTTAGGAAGTACATCATAATAATCATACATCATATGTTCTTTGTCCCATATGTTTTATGAACTCTACAAACTCTGTAGCTTCGACTTTTTCTTGGTTTAATAGAATTATAGCAAAATGAAGAAAATTTAATCATCAAGAGGTTCAAAGAAATTTCGTTTACATGACACATTTTAAGTGTGCGATGTCATCGCAAACATCATTTTTATGACGTACTTACGTCCTGTTTGTTTCTTTTAAAGGCAATATTTTTGGTAATGTAATGAAGCTATTTCAAACATAGCAAAGTCGGGGATCGTTGTAATTTACAAATTTATGTAATACCCCAAATAGTACTACCGTAAATGTTTTCAAAATAAATAAATATGTCTTTAATTTCTTTTATCTTACAGGTTGAGTTTTTGAGCTACCCTTAGACCATTGTTTTCGGTGATAGAAATGAAATATTATTCACAAGTGAGATAAAGTACTCATAAGTGAGTAAATTTGACTATTATATTATATTTACTATTATATTTTTATAGGTGAATATTTTACTTGAATGAAACTTCATTTTTTGGATAGTTGCACCTGTAAGATAAAACGTCGTATATCACACGTGATCGAAATGCCATTATGAAACTCGTGAGAAGTGTCTTACTCGCTTATAATGATGCATTTCTATCACTTATAATATAATGTAGTATTAAAATTTTGTTAGCCATATAATGATTAGAATAGAAATAAATTTTTAATAATATTAATATAGTAGTACATCTTTAAAGTGTAGATATACGACATTTTGATAAGAAAAAAACATAGTGTCAATAAAATAATAGAATAAACATTCTAAAAAATATCAGTTTTTCTTATTTCAAATAAAAAGCAAGAGTCTAAAGGTTGACATTATCTAAATAACGAGATTAACATAGTTTATTAAGCCAGTAGTTACAGTTTTAATGATTTGCAATGCACACCCAGAGTAATAGATAATTATCAACGTTTCTAATTACTTATCAGTGAACTCTGTATATAAATTACATCGTTACATAATATTCCTATACAGGGTGTATAGGTATAAAAGAACGATTCCATATTTATGTATTTACCTATGTGTATTTCAAATTACACAGTGGTTCTAATCGTTGAGTGAGAAATTTTAGGTATAAAAATGCCTTACTGAACGTTATAACTTACTGCGTTTAATTTTTTCAACTAACTCAATGCCTAAGAAATGTTACTGCAAAATAACACATTTTCTAAGCATGTATTTAATATTAAATAAATTTTAATATTTTATGGAACACTTTTACATAAATGTTTAGGTACTGTTGTAGTTTTAATAATACAAAAATATATCGAGTCACAATGGATTATTACCTCGTAAGTGAAAAATAACAGTTTCTGGTAATTCAGGAAAAACAATATTAACTCAGTTTGTTCATAGCATAGTAATATAGTAGTCTTTTAAACATTTAGAAAACTGCAAAAATTTCAATAATTTCAAAAATTCGTCAACGTTGAAAGTTGATAAATTAATTCTAGTTGCTAAGAGTAATTGTCTGGACAAAAGTGTTTTGGAAATTTTATAAACACAATGTTTTACATAGATTATTATCATGAGTTCAATGAAATTTATGATCCAATAATGACCTGTGACATTGAAATCATGTTGGTAACGTGATGTATGTATTACATACCAGGTGAATAAAAAGTATGAAACCAAGCGTTTATTTCGTAAACTAAGCAGTTTACGAAAAAAATAATTAGTGTAGCGTAAAGTACAATTAAAATGTGACCATTTATCAAGAATACCATTTTTAGAAATTTCGTTTAGTTTTCGAGTTCTGAAAAAAAAAATTTTAAATGGCAACCCATGGTAATTTTTTTAATTAAAGAGTATGATCTAAAAATGACCTCTAATTAATCAGAATTGTTTTATAGTCAGTACTTTTTTTTTAATAAATTGTTAAAGTTGCGTTCCGAGCCCATCACGAAGACTTTCCGAACTTAAACGAGGTGGTCGTTTCATGGATCAAAAAATCTAATAACAAATCATTTTCTTCTATTTTTAGTCCATTCGAAACCACCCCAAAGCACCTGCATAGAAATCAGCGCTCTCCCATGATGAAATGCATGAAACAAACACTTCGGTTAAGTTCGGAAAATCTTCGTAATGAGCTCGGAACGCAACTTTAACAATTAATTATAAAAAAAGTACTAGCTAAAAAACAATTTTATTTAATTAGAGGTCATTTTTAGATCATAATCTTTAATTAAAAAATTACCATGGTGGGTTGCCATTAAAAAAAAAATTGCCAGAACTCAAAAACTGAAAGAAATTTCAAATTTTTATTTTTTTCGTTAAGTGCTTAGTTTATGGAAAAAACGCTTGGTTCCATACTTTTTATTCACCTGGTAGGTAGAGATTTACAGGGTGAATTTTGACGAATATACCCATAATTTTAGAGTAAGATAGTTTATGCCAAATAACTAACTCTAAAAAAGAATCTATGAAAAGTTTCTTAATTTCCGAGATATACCGTCTTAAAAACACTATTGTCTTTAAAATTTTAAATAGGTAATTTGCCCTGATGACATCAATGGCGACATCACATTTGTTCACGTCATATACGTACCTGTCAATATCTAAGAGAATGGATTTAAGTGGTATTTTTTATTGATATTCGACAAAAATAAAAAAGTTTTTTTTTACTTACTATTGATCATAATCTTTCATTCTCTAAGTTTATGCGTATAAACTTAGACTCACACTGTATGAATCTTGTCAATTTTTAGCTCTTACATTTTTCCAACATTGTTCCAATTTTTGAATGCTAGCAATGGAAATTACGTGAGTAATAACAATACCTAGTAGAAAAAGACTTCATTTTTATCAAATTTAAAAAATATGTTTTTGGAAATGCTCCATATAACTAGTGTTTTTTTTTAATTGGGCGTCACAGTTGGCGGTGACTGAGTGTGTTGTGAACGGGCCACAATTTTTAATACGCTCGGCCAGGTGTCAAGTGTCAGATTTGTCAGTGTCAAACTTTGAAAAACAGTTCTGACGCCAAATTAAAAAAAACACACAAACACATGTTATTTCAGTTTCAAACATCCTAATTCCATAACATACCTATTCTTAATTTTTCTCTACACCTTATTCCTATTAAAAAAATGATCGATTATACAACCCATTCTTTAGAACGTTTTATTAAATTTAAAAAGAATTGTAAAGCTATATAAAGTTATCAAATTAAGTTTCCTGTTTGCTACAAATCATGTGCCTCTCTAGTTTATAAATCCACGAGCCGTCCCTGAAAAGTACTAAATGGCTGTAATATGTTGCAATAATTTGTGAAAGAACAAGTTTTCTAAATCAAAAATAATACTGAATTGAAGATAAATTTTTTCTTTTTTTTCTTAACTTTAAGACATAAGGAAAATGTGTTTTAATTTACGATAATTTGACATCTATTCCTCCAGTGCAAGTGGGGTGACAGTAGATTTCACCCACAATTTTACCGGTCATTTCCCCACCACCCCTCGTTCCAAACCATCGCCCTTTTTTTCCCGTGGCTGTCGTCATTTAAATTTCATGATATATAAAATCGGTGTCGAATATCGTGCAAGCAAGAGGCAGGCAGGCAACCCATGGATGGATGCATGTGGCAGCGGCACCGTCGTCGTCAGCCGGTGGCACGCAATGCAGCCTATATCTTCTATACACTTCGTGCTGTTCAAGGACCGAAACCCCGCCGTTGGTTGTCGGTTGTGTTGCGTCATTCTGCACCAAGCAGCTTTCTACGGTAACCTTCGTCGTGTTCAGACTTTTTG